TAGTGGTTTTCCCTCCTTTCTTCAATTTAAGTCTGAATTTGGCAATAAGGAGTCCATGATCTGAGCCACAGTCAGCTCCCAGTCTTGTTTTTGCTGACTGACCATACCCCTTACCCTACTTTTTTTCTTATTCTATAATACTTATTGCCTCAGAAAAAGAAACTGCCTTCGAATCAAAACCAAAAATTGACTAAAGACATTTTTGTCTTCTAGAGAACTTATAATACGTACCTCTAGGGAGTCTGGTTCTTTAGTTCTTTCATTCAGGAAAACACTGTGATCCATATCTATGGAAACTTTTCCATCTGTGTCCTCTTGGGCATAGTCAGATCCAAGAATGAAATGAAGAGGATGCTCAATTTCTTTACATAGTATAGTAAGGAACAGTGAATTCCTCTAGGCCATAGACATAGAGAGATGACTGAGACTAGTACAGTTCAGTTCAGTTGCTCAGTTGTGTCTGACTCTTTGACAGTAGAAATTTTAGAATATATGCTTTAGAGAGAGGAGTAGCTGAGGTCTTTGGATAGTAATGTATAATGCTAATGTTAAATGGTTCCTTTTTTGTGTTTTAGTTATGCAACTACCTTAGCATTAGTCCCCAAAGTGCTGTACATTTCTTCAAAGTACCACAGTGTTGCAGGAACAGATGAAAAATGCAGGGTTCCATATTGGTAATAAAACAGATAAGGTGAGAAAAAAATGGACCATTTGAGATGTCAGGAAAAATTGTGATTTTGAAATGGGCCAAAAAGGACTAGCAGGGGTACTTTCTGTTTACTCCCTACAGGTGATCCCTGTCTTTCATGGTTTTTGAGCTACTTTACAGCTTCATCAGTTGTAGAAAACATGTAATAATGCAAATGATGCCTATTCATAGAAATGTAAGTTGGTTGTGTCCAGTAGTTGTATAGTCACTAAGTCATGTTCAACTCTTTGTGACCCCATGGACTGCAGCAACCCAGGCTTCCTTGTTCTTCACAATTTCCCAGAGTTGGATCAAATGTATGTCCATTGCATCAGTGATGCCATCCAACCATCTCATCCTCTGCCACCCTCTTGTCCTTTTGCCTTCAGTCTTTCCAAGTGTCGGGTCTTTTCCAGTGATTCAGCTCTTTGCATCAGGTGGCCAAAGTGTTGGAGCTTCAGCTTCAGCATCAGTCCTTCCAATGAATATTCAGGTTTGATTTCCCTTAGAATTGACTGGTTTGATGTCCTTGCAGTCCAAAGGACTCACAAGTCTTCTCCAGCACCACAGTTTGAAAACATCAGTTCTTTGGCCTTCAGCCTTCTTTAGGGTCCAACTCTCACATCTGTGTATGACTACTGGAAAAACCATACCTCTGCTTATATGACCCCTTGTAAGCAAAGTGATTTTTCTGCTTTTTAATATGCTGTCTAGGTTTGTCATAGCTTTTCTTCCAAGGAGCAAGCATCTTTTAATTTCATGGCTGCTGTTACCATCCACAGTGATTTGGGAGCCCAAGAAAGTAAAATCTGCTACTGTTCACATTTTTTCCCATCTATTTGTCATGAAGTGGTGGGACTGGATGCCATGTTCTTAGTTTTTTTAATGTTTTAAGCCAGGTTTTTCACTCTCTTCTTCCACTGTCATTAAGAGGCTCTTTAGTTCCTCTTCACTTTCTTCCATTGATTATTGCCTGTGCTATATCAATTTTTGCATCTATTTTAAGTTCATTTTAGCATTTCTTTACTTCATAGTTATTTTTAAAATTCTCCTTTTAGTAAGTAGTAACATATTTTTAATTTGTTCATTAATTGAGTTAAATGAAATACTTGACATGTGTTCATTTTTATATTTCTAAGAGATCCAAAATGTTACCGTAAAGGAAAAAAAAGTATTCTTTAATGAAGCTAAGACAATTAGAAATCAGACTACTTTGGGCAACATTGGAATATATCTGGCTTAAGATTTTGCAAAAATAAATAATTTGTGTTCTGTCCAAAGTTTATCAGAAAATTCATCCTTGATATTGCAAAAGGAAGATGTGTTTTTTTCTTAAGTTTTGTGAGTAAATATAGGTATTTACATAGCAGTCTAAATTATGTAGTAGATGTTTTGAAAATCTTAACCCTTTTCATGCCACTACAGTGTTTATCTGATTGTTTAGCTTTTTTCCCTTTCAAATATTTTTAAATGTATTTTTAAATTTCTTTTTGTAGTTCTTCCTGTGAAAGTCTTAAAAACACTGGCTTTTCCAAAATAACAGAGATCAAATTCAGCAAACTTTTTCTATAAAGGAACAGGTAGTAAATATTTTAGGCTTTGCTGGCCATATGGTCTCTGTCACAACTATTCAGCTCTGCTGTTGTAATGCAAAAGCATTCACAAAAAACACAAATGAGCCCCCCAAAATTTCTTGCACAAAAGCAAGATTTGGCCAGTGGGCCATTGTTTGCCAATCTCTGAGATAGATTATGATTTATTTACTCAGAGGTCATTATAAAACTATTAAAATAATTAGTTGGAACTTTTGGAGTTAGAAATTATTTGATGTAATTAAGAGTAAGAAGGAGAATACAGATTTTTTTATCATTCTATTAAAATATGTATAGATATAGAAGATTATAAAGAAGGTTAAATAATGGGTAAAAAATATAAAAAGATTCTGTAATTCAATAACATTGCCAGGAGCATAGCATGATGAATATAAAGGATACATAGCTAAAGATCCACTGCTTAAAACAAAAAGAAGTTTGGTCAAAATCAGAGTAAAAAGTGAGCCTTCTAGTTCAGTTCAGTTCATTTCAGTCGCTCAGTCGTGTCAGACTCTTTGCAACCCCATGAACCGCAGCACACCAGTCTTCCCTGTCCATCACCAAATCCTGGAACTTGTTCAAACTCATATCCATCCAGTCAGTGATTGCATTAAACTATCTCATCCTCTGTCGTCCCCTTCTCCTCCTGCCCTCAATCTTTCCAAGCATCAGGGTCTTTTCAAAGGAGTCAGCTCTTCACATCACATGGCCAAAGTATTGGAGTTTCAGCTTCAACATCAATCCTTCCAATGAACACCCAGGACTGATCTTCTTTAGGAGGGACTGGTTGGATCTCCTTACAGTCCAGGGGACTCTCAAGAATCTTCTCCAACACCACAGTTCAAAAGCATCAATTTTTCGGCACTCAGCTTTCTTTATAGTCCAACTCTCACATCCATACATGACTACTGGAAAAACCATAGCCTTGACTAGATGGACCTTTGTTGACAAAGGTCAAAGGCAAATTTGGACTTGGAGTACAGAATGAAGCTGGGCAAAGAGTTCTGCCAAGAGAATGCACTGGTCATAGCAAATGCCTTCTTCCAACAACGCAAGAGAAGACTACACATGGACATCACCAGATGGTCAACACCAAAATCAGATTGACTATATTCTTTGCAGCCAAAGATGGAGAAGCTCTATACAGTCAGCAAAAACAAGACCAGGAGCTGACTGTGGCTCAGATCATGAACTCCTTATTGCCAAATTCAGACTTAAATTGAAGAAGTGGGGAAAACCACTAGACCCTTCAGGTATGACCTAAATCAAATCCCTTGTGACTATACAGTGGAAGTGAGAAATAGATTTAAGGGGCTAGATCTGATAGACAGAGTGCCTGAGGAACTATGGATGGACATTCGTGACATTGTATAGGAGATAGGAATCAAGAACATCCCCAAGAAAAAGAAATGCAAAAAAGCTAAATGGCTCTCTGAGGAGGCCTTACAAATAGCTCTGAAAAGAAGAGAAGTGAAAAGCAAAGGAGACAAGGATATACCCATTTGAATGCAGAGCCTTCTAGAGAAGGAGATAAAAATATGTAATCAATTCGAAGGCTTTGACAGTGAGTTGTGGAAGTTTCAGTCAACTTCTTGTTGTTCTATCAAAACTCAAGAGGAATTTGAATCAAGGAGTATCTCTGATATGTTTCATCAGAAGAATACAGCAAAGACAGCAGCTATTCCAGAAGAGGCAGAGTATATGCCCACCCCACCCTAAGCCTGAAGATAAGGAATGAATAGGAATATCCCCTGGGAATTAAGTCTGGTCAGATAATAAAGAAAACACTTAGATTCTTTTCAGAGGACAAAGCAGGAGTCTTTAACTGCTGCTGTTGTTGCTCCTTGTTCAGTCCTGTCCAATTCTTTGTGACCCCATGAACTGTAATATGCCAGGCTTCCCTGTCCTTCACTGTCTCCCGGAGCTTGGTCAAAGTCATGTCTGTTGAGTCAGTGATGCCATCCAACCATCTCATCCTCCATCATCCTCCTTTCCCTCCTGTCTTCTGTCTTTCCCAGCATGAGGGTCTTTTCCAGTGAGTAGGCTCTTTGCATCAGATGGCCAAAGTATTGGAGCTTCAACTTCAGCATCAGTCCTTCTGATGAATATTCAGGGTTAATTTCCTTTAGGATGGACTGGTTTGATCTCCTTGCAGTCCAAAATACTCTCGAGAGTCTTCTCCAACACCACTGTTCAAAAGCATCAATTCTTCAGTGCTCAGCCTTCTTTATGGTCCAGCTCTCATACCCATACATGACTACTGGAAAAACCATAGCTTTGCAAATATTGACCTTTGTCAGGAAAGTAATGTCTCTGCTTTTTAATACACTGTCTAGGTTAGTCATAGCTTTTCTTCCAAGGAGCAAGCATCTGTTAATTACATGGCTGCAGTTACCATCCACAGTGATTTTCTAACTCAAGAAAATAAAACCCATCACTGTTTCCATTGTTTCCCCATCTATTTGCCATGGCATGATGGCACCAGATTCCACGATCTTAGTTTTATGGACATTGAGTTTTAAGTCAATTTTTTTTTTTTAAGAGACAAATGGTTTATTTGGTAACAAGGAGTAAAAAGGAATTCTTGATTCCTCTTCTCACTTTTGGCGGCTGAAGTGAACTGTGATAGTCAAACAGACTGCAGCACACACAGGAATTCCCTCACAGTCCCTGGTTACAGAAATGCAATCAGCCGTCACACGACTTGTCACTACTGTTTTCTAGACAGAAGTGCCAGGTGCTATGCTCTCTGGGCCATCCGTGGTGGCTACATTCTCCTTCTTGTCTTCAGGTTTCATGGCAGGAAACAGAAGCACTTCCTTGATGTTAATGGAGTCTGTGAGAAACATCACGACGCAGTTGATGCCCATGCCCCAGCCACCCGTGGCAGGCAGCCCATACTCCAGGGCAGTGCAGAAGGTTTCATCTACGAACATGGCCTCATCGTCGCCAGCGGCCTTGGCCTTGGCCTGTTCTTCAAAGAGCTCCTGCTGTCGCACAGGGTCGTTCAGCTCAGTGTAGGCATTGCATATTTCCTTCTTCATGACAAACAGCTCAAAGCACTCAGTCAGACCGTTTTTAGAGCAGTGTCATTTGGCCAGAAGGCTCATTATCTGTGGGTGATCACAGATGAAGGTAGGATTGATGCACGCCACCTCCAGGAACTCCCTGACAAGCTTATCAAGGAGCCTGGCGGTGGTCCGGAGTGGAGGACACTCGACATCTTTTGCCACACAGATATCATCAAGGATTCTGCGAGTTTCTTCAGTTTCAAAAAGATTCGTTTCTGGCAGTTTCATGCCCAGGGCTTTCTCAAGCTCTTCTACCATGCTGATTTTCCGGAAGGGCGGGGTGAAGTCAATCTCATTGGCTTGGCTTTCTGGGCCATCTGGATGGTAGGTGACCTTGTAACTGCCTGTAATGTGTTTCACCATCCCTGAAATCATCTTCTCTGTGATTTCCATGAGATCATGATAGTCGGCATAAGCCATGTAGAATTCACAGGTGGTGAACTCAGGATTGTGAGTCAAATCAATTCCTTCATTCCGGAACTGGCGTCCAATTTCATACACCCGGTCGAAGCCACCAACCACCAGCATCTTATGGTAGAGTTCCGGAGCAATTCTCATATATAAATTCATGTCCAGCTCATTGTGGTAGGTGATAAAAGGCTTGGCCACAGCTCCCCCTGGGATGATGTTCATCAGGGGAGTTTCAATCTCTAGGAATCCCAGTTCATCCAAGAAACTTCTTATATACGTGATGATCTTGAAGCGGATGATGAATTTCTGCCTCACAGAGTCATTCGGGATCAAGTCCAAGTATCTCTGCCAATACCGTGTTTCCTTGTCTTTGAGGCTGAAGTGAAGATGAGGCAACATGTGCAGGCAAGGAAACAGCAGTGTGATTTCATAGGGGATGATGCTTAGCTCGCCCTTCTTGGTTTTCCCAGGATTGCCCTGGGCTCCAGTTATGTCTCCCCGGCGCCATTTGTTGTTAATACGGATAAATTCTTCCTCAGATTAGTAATTCCTGGAACTGGCCATGACTTGCAGCTTGACCCCCTCTCCTCGAAGGTCCTAGAAGATGAGCTTTCCTCCAGAAGCTCTTTTGGCATGGATCCTACCTACCACCTTTAAGGTGATGTCAGTCAGGTGGTCCCCAGGCTGCAAGTGACTGTACTCTTGGATGAAGTGAGTGAGCGAGATGTCCACATGGAACTTGTGTGGGTATGGATCTTCCCCATTGACCTTCAGCTGGTGGATTGCTTGGCTTTGGATTTTGAAGTATTGATTTGGGTCCAAGCTCTTTTCCTCCACAGCCACGCCATCGTCAGCACTGTGATTGGTGGTGGCCTAACTCAGCTGTTTCTCACTGAGCTCCTTCTGCTTGGCCACCTTCTCCGCTATTTTCTTCTCTGCTTTCAGGCGTCTCTTTAGCTCATTTTTGCTCAGTTTTGGCTCGCCACAGTCCACTTTAACTTCAGCACCCTGCACGTCAGCCATCTTCACCGAGGGCCGGACCTAAAGAGCTTAAGCCAACTTTTTAACTCTTCTCTTTCACTTTCATCAAGTGGCTCTTCAGTTCCTCTTTGCTTTCTGCCATTAGGGTGGTGTCATCTGCATATCTGAGGTTATTGATATTTCTCCTGGCAACCTTAATTCCAGCTTGCTCTTCATCCAGCAAAGCATTTCACATGATGTACTCTGCAGATAAGTTAAATAAACAAAGTGACAATATACAGCCTTGATGTACTTCTTTCCCAATTTTGTTCTATGTCTGTTTCTAACTGTTGCTTCTTTACCTGCCTACAGGTTTCTGAGGAGGCAGGTAAGGTGGTCTGGTGTTCCCATCTGTTTAAGAATTTTCCAGTTTGCCATGATCCACACAGTCAAAAGCTTTCGCATAGTCAATGAAGCAGATGTATATTTTTCTGGAATTCTCTTGCTTTTTCTATGATCCAAGGGATGTTGGCAGTTTGATGTCTGGGTCCTCTGCCTTTTCTAAATGCAGCTTGTATACCTGGAAGTTCACAGTTCACATACTGCTGAAGCCTAGCTTGGAGGATTTTGAGGATGACCTTGCTAGTATGTGAAATGAGTGCAACTGTGCAGTAGTTTGAACATTCTTTGGCATTGGAATGAAAGATGACATTTTCCAATCCTGTGGTCACGGCTAAGTTTTCCAAACTTGCTGGCATATTGAGTGCAGCATCATCTTTTAGGAATTGAAATGGTTCAGCTGGTAATCCATCGCCTCCACTAGTTTTGTTCATAGTGATGCCTTCTAAGGCCCACTTGACTTCACAATCCAGAATGTCTGGCTCTAGGTAAGTGATCACACCATTGTGGTTGTCTGGGTCATTAAGATCTCTTTTGCATAGTTCTTCTGTGTATTCTTGCCACCTTTTTATCTTCTGTTTCTGTTAGGTCCATACCATTTCTGTCCTTTATTGTGCCCATCTTTGCATGAAATGTTTCTTTGGTATGTTTAATTTTCTTGAAGTGATTCTCTAGTCTTTCCCATTCTATTGTTTTCCTCTATTTCTTTGCTCTGATCACTGAGGAAGGCTTTCTTATCTCTCCTTGCTATTTGGAACTCTGCATTCAGATGAGTATATTTCCTTTTCTCCTTTGCCTTTTGCTTCTGTTTTTTTCTAAGGTATTTGTAAGGCCTCCTCAGACAGACATTCTGCCTTTTTGCATTTCTTTTTCTTGCTGATGGTCTTAATCACCGCCTCCTGTACAGTCATGATCCTCCGTCCATGCTTCTTCAGGGACTCTGTCTATCAGATCTAATCCCTTGAATTTATTTGTCACTTCCACTGTATAATCATAAGGGAATTGGTTTAGGTCATGCCTGAATGGTCTAGTGGCTTTCCCTACTTTCTTCAACTTAGTCTGAATTTGGCAATAAGGAGTTCATGTTCTAAGCCACAGTCAGCTCCCAGTCTTATTTTTGCTGACTGTATAGAGCTTTTTAATATTCAGCTGCAAAGGACAATAAAAGTCATAAGACTTCCTATTTGGTGCTACTGGTAAAGAACTCACCTGCCCATGCAGGAGACTTAAAGAGACTCTGGCTCCATCCCTGGGTCAGAAAGATACCTTGGAGGAGGGTGTGGCCATCCATTCCAGTATTTTTTTCTTGGAAAATCCTATGGACAGAGGAACCTGCTTGGCTACAGTCCATTGAGTTCCAAAAAGTTGGACATGACTGAAGCAACTTAGCACACAGCGCTATTCAGTAAAGAGTATTTGACGTACATGAAGAGTTGCTGTGACAGTTTTCAAAGTTGACTGTTTTACTGTGCTGTTATGGAGACCCCTAAAAAGCGGAATGGACCTCACCCAAAGTTTGGTTCATGTTGAGACAACGCCGCACACAGGGAAAGGGTATAAAAAAGTTTATTACTTATGAAATGAAGACTCTGGAGAGTATAGGTGGTCTCTCAAGCAGATCTGAAATGGCTTCAGAAAACAAAGGTGACTGGATGAAGTTTTTAATCATCTTTATTAGATAGGCCTGGAGAAGAATCTTGCTTGGTTTGAATCTCTTACCTCTGCCATAGGAAGGCAACACAAGTCTCCTTATCAGCTTGATCAGGTGTAGTGTACCAGGGGAAGAAGGAAGGCTGAGGCTCAAAGCTGTCAATAGTCAAATATACAAAAAAAAAATGGAATCAGACTCCTTATTACACATAGTAATACCCTGCACCATTATCAACATTCACATTATTCATATATTAAAATTGAAAACATGTATATAAGAGGATAGAATACATCATAATTCTATCTGACAAAGGCATTCATAGGTGACAAATTAGCAGATGGTCTGTATCCATAGATCTCTAACTTGGCTGTATATTGGAATCATCTTTTGTGTTAGTCACACAGTTGTGTCTGACTCTTTGCGACCCCATCAGACTCCTCTGTCCATGGAGTTTTCCAGTCAAAAATATTGTATTGGTTGCCATTTCCTACTCCAAGAGATCTTCCCGACCCAGGGAGCAAACCTGTGACTCTTGCGTCACCTGCATTGGCAGGAGGGTTCTTTACTGATGACACTTGGGAAGCCTAGAATCATCTTAAAGGCATTAAAAAATTTTTGATACTTTTATCTCAGCTCCAGAAAATCTTATTGAATTGGTCTGAACTGAGCCTGGGTCATTGAATTTTATAATCTCCCTAGTTGATTTTAACTTGTAGTAAAGTTTAAGCATCACTGTTGGAGAAGACATGTGTGTGTGCACATTTATTCCAGTAATAAATAGGGAATATAACTATTCATACTGTTTATAAGCAATTTTCATTTAACATATCATAGAGTATCTTTCTGTGCCCATAAATACAACACCTATAGCATCATTATAATGTCTGCCTATTATTTTACTATATCAATATACTGTAACTTCTATCCCAACAAGCCTCTGTGCAGGAGATTTCATTATATCAAATTTGTTATACTTTTAAAAACACAAGAATATCTTTTATATGTACAACCTTGCTCATTTTTATAATTCTTAGTGAAATTTTTCTAGGAACATAATCACTGACTTATAGAATGTAGATATGTTTAAATCTATTTTCTGTCATCCCTTCAGCAGGAAATGAGGTTGTGTATATCCCTAAAACTCCACCATGTTATGTATTAAGATAGAAATAAAAATGTAATTAAACTCTGAAATTTAACTTACTTTAAACTGAACAACAACAATAACATTAAAAAAAAAAAACTCTATTTCCTCCCTAACAGCAAGTCTGAGGAACTGATTCATTAGAAAAGACCCTGATGCTGGGAAAGATTGAAGGCAGAGAGGAAGAGGACGACAGAGAATGACATGGTTGGATGGCATCACCGACTCCATGGACATGAGTTTGAGTAAACTCCGGAAGTTGGTGACAGATAGGGAAGCCTGATGTGCTGGAGTCCATGGGGTTGCAGAATCGGACATGACTTGAGCGACTGAACTGAACAGGAAGCCAGTTTTCCCAGATTGGTTATTCAATCATCCTTGATTTGCTAAACTCAGAAAATTTATTTCTAAACTGGGGCAATGATGATATCTACCGCACATATTTTCAGGATGAACTAAATTAGTTAATATATATTAAGCACTTATAATAGTATACAGCATATAATAAATACTCAGCATGTGATCACTATTATTTTCATGATCGTCACCATGACAACATTTAATATATACTGTGGGTCTTTTTCTTGATTCTGAGTTCTGTGGGACAGGATCATAGCTAACCTTGCCCCAGTTGCCTAAGTTTCAGTGAGTATAGTTTTGACACACATATCTTCATATCAGAACATTTTCTGTTTTGTCAAAATGGGCCACTGTTCTGGCTATTTTCACATATTCTATTGGAGAAACTTAAAATCACATTGTCAGATTCAAAAGGGCAATTTCATTCTGTTTTTTTATTCTGCTTGAGTTAAATATGAGTCAATTAGAGCAAAATTTACATTGCTTACAATTGTTTATTCTTTCTACCTAGTGGAATGTTATGCCTCTACCTATTGTCAAATTTCCTCTTACATGCACCTATAAGTTCATGTAGTTTTCCTCAGAAAGGTTTTGCGTATTCATATTAAGTTTATTGCTAAGAATTTTGTATTTGTATTGGATTGTCAAAGGGTTACTTTTATGTTATATTTTCTTTTTAGTATATTTGGTTGATCACTTTATTATATTTATTTGTAACTGACTGACTTCACTGAATTCCCTGGGTAGTTATAATTCAAGGACATTATAATTCAAGTCTTCTCTTTGTGTGAAGAATGCTGTGTGTAGCAGCTAAATCTTCATTCCAATTTAGGGTGGGATTAAGAGATGGGGTAGAGGGAATAAACTATCCTCCTCAATTTCACC